TCACGGTCAAATATTACAGTTGCAACTTGCGTTGGACGCACTGTTCCAGGTGGGATTTTCATAGGCTTGAAGTCAATTGATATTGCATCATTCACTGGAGTTGTTATCACATTCTGCAAAGGGTTGATTCATGAGAAAAAAGAGACATGGGAGAAGAAAAATGGAAAGGGAAAGAGAAAAAGTCAAACACTTACTACTGATCATTCACCTCGTCCATTTTCTCTAAATCATGAACTTCTTATTACTCTTACTTATTACATTTATTTATGCTATTAAAACCAACACCAATGACAGCAGCCTCCCTCAACTCCTGGCGCTTACTTGAATGTGTATGTGCTTGTGGGCCGAATTGAGGAGGTGCAGGGGCAGCGTGGCAGGCGGGTCGTGAGGGGTGCGCAGGCCAAAGTGGAGGCCATCCTGCGGGCAGAAGAGCCCAGGCTGACTAGAAACCTCCACTTCCACTGGAACTACCAGGTAGTCACTATCTGTCTCGCTGGTTACGATTCTTGGGGAGGAGAGAGGGGGAAAGAGGTTGGTTTTCAGGATATCAGTTGATATATTCGCTGTGCTTTCTGGTTTGGAACTTTTAGTAGGGTTGAGCTTCAATTAGAAAACCGAAGTTCAAAAATTTACATTAAGTACCTTTATATCATTTTTCTGATTTATTGGTATAACACTATTAAATTTCATCAAAGCTTCCAACCTGTCTGTTCCCCACATGCAAAAATGCATGATTTTTCTAGTTATATTTTACCAAATTTTTGCCTCTGCTAATTAATAATTTATCACAACAGAAAATGTACATTCTATGGTCATATATCAAATACATCAGTACAGCTTGAAGTTGAAAAAATGATTACAATAAGAATGAAAATGGCAATAAATTACCACAAACACATAAATACAACTAAAACTATTTCATGGTTAACAAACATCAAAACCTTGAGGGTTAGTACACTCTCCCACGCCAAAAAGGAAAAAAATCATTTAACCACATGCAAACCATACCTGACATAAGCGGTATGGTTATTCTCTCTGCGAGCAACAAAGTTTGCCTTCATTAGTGGGCGTGTGTGGTAGGGTGGAATATTCCACACGTTCTTCTGCCCTTCTTGACTACCTGACAGCAGTTCCAAGTGAAGATCTCCTCCTGTACTGTACATTTCTGTGATCTGAGGTAACAAATATCATGGGAATTTAGATTCTCCTTCAAAAAAATTGTCCATTCACTTATCTTACTTCCAAGGAGCTGAATTCTGATCATATTCTTGATAAATGTGCATGTGTATATCTTGCCACCTTTTTGATATTTACTATAAGAAAACTGACCCTCACTGAAATGATCTTGCCATAGTTGTCCAGAGAGATAATGAAACAAGCCAAAGCTACGAAACAATGCACCAAATCAATTCTTTCAACAAAACTGTCATCATAAGTAATGATAATAACACTGCATCTTCATCAATATACAATCTCCATACTCAGAGAAATTTTACAAGAAAAAAATAATAATAAAGCACAAAAATAAACAGAGGAGCCTCACCTGTAGAGCATGTGGATGTGGGTTGTGCAACTGAATTAGAGGAGAGTATGAAGAATTGAGAGGCATGCGCACCCCTACCAAGGGCCTCAGCCTGTAGGGATTCCCTGTCCCCACTGCCCGCACCTGCAATAGAAGGCGACGTCTTAACGCCTTGCCCAAGCTCAGCTCTCCTCAGCTTCAAACCTGAGGCTAAATTCATTGGTTCCTATTTTTTCATGGTGTTATCATTAGCCTTTTCTCGTATTCTGCTTTTTTCACCTAAAAGTCTGGGTAAGATAACTATCTCACAATCTGTTTGTTTTACCATTAGTCTCATGTGGCACACTTTAGCTTCTTTACTTCTGTCATTTCTAATGTTTACATAAATGCTTTCGCCTTACAGCAGTCAACAATTGGCACGTGTAACATTAACAGTGAACACATGAAAATAATTTTTCCTCAAGAACCTAAATATTGTCTATACATTTTTCTACTTTTGAGCAACTGAACACTACAAAAAAGAAAAACAACAACAATAATAAAAATTGCACCTACAATAATAGTATCAATAAAGTAAAAATATCATTCTCGTTATTCTTACTACAATTAAAAAAATAATAATAATAATAGTAGTAGTAGTAGTAGTAATAACAATAACAACAATAGCTATTAAAAAAATGTAGCCTGTGGTAAAAACCTGCATGCTAAAAATCAACACCTTACCCCATATTTATAGGTGCCTATGGAAGTGTGTATAAAGATGGTGTTCTCTATGAGACCTTCCTCCCGGCCGAGGAACACGACATCAAATGACGTGTTCCCGCCCGGTAACACCACCTGAGAGGGAAAACAAGGTAAGCACAAAACACCAAAAGAACAGGTACAACCCTTCTCTCTCTCTGTTAATATTATTGGATTCCTCTAATCACTGCTCATAAAAGAGAACAACAATACACTCTTCAAATAATTATACACACA